CCCAAAGTTCAATTCTGAACTCCATACCCACATAAACACATGTATTAGCTCCTACACACACACACACACACACACACACTTTAAAAAGTCCCAGAATTACATACCTATAACCCAAACCTTCTCAGTTCGTATCTCCCATACATCCTTAAAAACACTAACATGAGCAGTAATTAACTATAAAGATCACAGCACTCCGCATATTCATTCACCCCTATATTCATGTCAAAGGGTAGAGGTGGTTAAAATGAAAGGAGGAAAGATCATGTGGATTACAATCCCAACTCTACCACTTTCTCAAATGTGTTACTTTAAACTTCATTTCTTCAACTACAGAGAAAAATGGTAACTTATCATTGCACCTTAACAGGTTCTTCCAATGATTTAAAGTAATGTGTGAATATGCTTAGTAATGGACCTTGTACTTAGTAACTCTCAAAAAGGTTAATTGTTAAAATCATTATTCAATGTGCTTGAAACATTGACCTATAAGATCCTACAAAGAGCCTTGCCAAAACCAAGGAAAAACTGCCCTCATCCACGTACATCTTTCAATCTATTGGGAAAGGGAAAAGAAAAGAAGAAAGGAAGGGAGGGAGGGAGGGAGGGAGGAAGATGAATTCTTGGGATTTTAGTGAAGTGCCTGTCATGAAATGTCTATGTACTGAGAAGGGACAATGAGAAGGAAGTTAGTATACAAGGAGCCATCAGTAACTGCTATTCTGACAAGAAGGTAAATCTTAGCTGAGGCTAGATGTTTGTGAAGGAAGGACCTTTTAAGAGTACCAGGCAGAGAGAAGGATTCATATAAACAAGAGAACTTGGCATATTTGAGGAATTGAAGGTGTTCAACATGACAAACATAAGCAATGACCAGAGACTAGAGAAGGCAGTGGTGGCTGGCTGGCATCTCAAAGTAAGCACAGATGTGATTCTACATAGTGGGTAGCCAATCAACAAAGAGGTGGCCCAACCTTTCCTGTTAACAGGTTTACTCTGGCTGCTGTAGAAGTAGGCAAGAGTGAAGCTACAAGCCTAGCTAAGAGGCACTGACAGTCATTCAGCTGAGAAAAGAGCATGCCAGGTTAGGAAATAGGAGAGAGGATCTGAATTATTCTGGAGTGGGCATGAGGGATGGGTCAAGAATGAAGACTATAAATGTGGAAGCTTGAGAGGAAGACCAATAGACCAATTTGGGAGTTTTGGATTTAGTTTAGTGTAGGATGCTTGCTTGGCAAATTCAAGGTCCCAAGTTATATCACTATCATGAGAGAAGAGTAAGGAGAGCAGGAGTGCTGTGGACATGTTAAGTTTGAGATGAGGCAGCAAGCAATAGGAAAGTTTGATAGATGAAAAAGTAAGCCTCAAGTCAGTAAGAGCAGGAGGCCTAAAGAGGGAGTTGTCTCCATGTAGGGCATACTAAATACTTGGTGAGATTATCTGGGGTATGAATATGATAAGAAAAAAATAAAATTCAGGTGTGGTGATCACATGCTTTTATTCCTAAAACATAGGAAGCCGAGGCAGGAGGATTACAAGCTCAAAATATCCTGGGATGTACAGTAAGTTCAAGGGCAGCCTCAGCTATATATTATAAGACTCTGTCTCAGAGAAAGAGAGGGAAATCTGAGACTGAACAGAATTAAGCAATCTCTACAAAAACACACAGACTTGCCCACAAATACATTTGCAACAAATGCCCATTGAAGAAAGGGAATAAATTTTAACATATTTCCTACAAGTCCTCAGCTGAGTAAAATTTCCACTTAGGACATATACACTACACCACCACCACCACCACCACCACCAAATTCTTACATATCTGGAACATATGCATCAAAAGGTAGTCTATGATTGCTTGGCCGAATTGTTCTAGGCATTTTTCAGAGAAAACAGCAAGTAGTCATGTTGTGTCCCACAAAAGTCACTAAAAGTAAAAGCAGCCTATCTGAAGTTCAAACCTTTAGAATTTTCATCCAACATTCTACCCTTTTTAAAATCAAAATCAAGAAAAGCACAATGATAAATTTTACTACAGATGCTGTTTCCTCCTGAAAGATGAAGCTGGCACTTTCAAACAGTTCAAAGGTCACATGAAAAATAAAAATGCTCAAAATTCAAGGATTAATTACAAAATTTAAAAAAACAAGTAAGCAAGTAAGTGCATCTCCAAAGCCATCTAAAAATGATAGGCAGAGAGATAAAAAGGACAGCACTGCCAAGAACGTAAGTAAATATAACAGCTACTCCCCAAGTGAAAACACAGTGAAGCTGTAATTACACCTTTGGGTATCTAAGGACACAAAAAGCTCACTATGCTCTTGAGGCTTATACTATTGCTTAGAATGACCAAACTGGGACACTTTAGGCTTCTCAAAAAATTCCAGTGTGACACAAAGGATAATACATAAGAAGGAAAGCCAAGCAGGGCATTGGTAGCACGCGCCTTTAATTCTAGCACTTGGGAGGCAGAGACATGTGGATCTCTGTGAGTTTGAGGCCAGCCTGGTCTACATAGCAAGTTCCAGGACAACCTCCAAAACAATACAGAGAAACCCTGTCTTGAAACCCCCCCAAAAAGAAGCAGCCAACATTTGCCCACAATGTTTCTTCCCTCAACTGCTTACGTTAAAGTTTTTTTAGATTTATTGGCTGTATTATTTTATGTGTATGATTGTTTGCATGTGTGTGTGTATGAGAGAGAGAGAGAGAGAGAGAGAGAGAGAGAGAGAGAGAGAGAGAGAGAGAGAGAGAGAGAGAGAGCACTATATGTGCCTGGTATCCATGGAGGTCAGAAAACTGTCAGTTCCCCTGAGGCTGGAGTTACAGACAGTTCCTAGCTGCCATGTGGGTCCTGGGACTCAAACATCAACCTTCTGCAAGAGCAACAAGTACTCTTCACTGCTTAGCCTACTCTCCAGCCTTTTTTTCTAATTGTATTATTTTTATTTTATGTGTATGGATGTTTTGTCTTTGGGTGTATCTATGTATCACTTGTGTTCCTGGTGCCCACTAAAGCCACTGGAAGGCACTGGATCTCCTGGGGCTGGAGCTGCAGATAGTTGTCCATATGGGCGCTGGAAATTGAACCCTGGTTTTCTAGAAGAGCAGTCAGGCTTTTAACTGCTGAGCCATCTCTCCAGTCCCTAAGTCTGTCATTCTTTTTAAGATCCTGCGGCCCACCTTATAAATTTTTCTAAGATATGTTAAGGAGAGGAAAGTTGCAAAGTTTAAGAGTTTATTATTACATCCCATGATATAACTATCTAGAAGGCTACCAGAAATGTCACATGAATAAATGACAACTAGCATTCCTCTACTTATCCACTGAGCAAATATTAAGTACCTATAGTGGGTCAGGGGCTGTTCTAAACCCTGAGGGTATTTCAGTGAAACAAGGTCTCACGCTTATAAGAGCTAAGGAGACAGACAATAGCCAACAAATAAATAAGAGCAAGTGGTGATAAGTACAGCACAGAATGGAGACTGGTGACAGGATTTTGTAGAGTTGTTGGGGGAAACCTAAAGACCTAAAGCTAAGGAAATCCATCTTAATTCTATAATAGCTAGGCCAGCTGTGTACACAGACGAACTGTAAATGCAGAGGCACTGAGGCTGGGAATGACCCAAGTTGATAGAAAAGTAGCAGAGGTTGACTTAGCCAGGTTGGAGACTGGAGGGGCGAAAGCAGAGAACTCCCACACCTGAATTTCTTTTTAAAGGAATCACAACGGGAAAATAGTTACTACTAAAGGCGGGACATACCTCTCAATCTATTTATAAATGGAAGGAAAAGTATACAATAAAAACCATATAGGCTGGTGGCACTTTTATACAGAGAGAAAGAAAACACATATAATTGGGAACAAAAAGATAAATGCCAAACAAGTTTACTGGACTTTGTGTGATAAGGGTTTTCCCCTTTACGCTTTTGTTATTCAAGTTTTCCGCCTTAAACATAAATCAGAAACAGAAAACAAAAATGGCTTCATACAAAAAAGCAAGTATACACATACACACACACACACACACACACACACACACACACACACACACACACACACACACACCAAAGCCCCAATCACTGACGAAGCTAGTCTGAAATCTTACTTCAACTGAGGGGGGAAAAAAAACAGAACTTTTTTTTTTCCCAAAAAACTTCCCATGCAATGTTTGCCTGTCACGAACCACTGCACAATTCAAGAATGGCCCAATGTATCAAGGTCACAAAATAAACTTGGTTAATGTTTATCATTACATGGCAGCCCTGTCCCTTAAAGCAACTTTGATACCATCTCCCCAAGGCACACACACAAAGGCCCTTTTCGCTCATTTCCTAAGTGTCTTTGATACTCTTTGCTGTTTCTGGATTTTTCCACTGAACGTCTCTTAGAAGCAAATTAAGCCCGAATCAGTTGTTCCAGCTAATGAAGTGTGCTTTTGGCTCTTTTCTCCTCGGTTGAGAATTATCCGGCAAGCTACCAATTGTTTTAGAACACATATCTGTTAGTTTTGAAATACATTTGCCGCAAACAAACCAAAAAAAAAATCAAGACAGCAACATATGAGAACATATATATAAATGGAAAGTGCCGTATTCCTTTTTAATTAAAAAACTGTGTGGATGCCTCATGAATAAACATTTTAGGTTATCTAGATAAATATATGTGTTGGCATGACACCGATAAAGGCAGAAAGGAACATGCCTTCTCTTCGCTAACCCCCTACCCCACCCGAATCACGTAACAGTTTCTCTCACAGGGCACAACACCACAGCAATCACTGTTCATAAATGCAGCTCCAAATGACTCAGGCTCTCAAACACTTTCCACCTCAGCCCTGAGCCCGGCATCGCACCCACTCCTCAGTCACTTCCAACAGGTTTCTCTGAGCGAATACCCGAAACTGGCCAGGCTTAACAGGTCCCAAACTCTGCTCGCACGCCCATCTGGGCACCCCGGAACCCTGGTGTTTCCGCGTGGGGAAGGAGGATTCTACTGTACCCCTGAGTGGTTCGAGTCCCGACGCTCTTTTCCCCAGAGGCACGGGTGCCAGCCGCCACGCAGCCCCCCCGCGGGAGTGCGGGACACGCGCGCCCACGGCCAGGCCTCCGCTGCTCGCTCCGGCCCCGTCTGCAGCTCTGCCCCGCGCGACCACCTTGACCCGGGACTCGCGGACGCCGAACCCTCAGCGAGCGCGGCGCTGACAGATGGGGAGGGCGGGGCGTCAGGGGGGAAGGGGCGGGGCCGCTCGGAGCGGGGGTGCTGGCGGCTGACAGGGCCGGGCGGGAGCCGGGCCTGGCGGGAAGGCGCTCGCAAACACGCAGGGGCTGACAGGCGGGGAGACGCACAGACGCCGGGGACTGACAGCTACGGGGACGGCGGGCCTCGGCGGGCGCTCACCTGGCGACGGCGGCACCGGCGACCCGGCCGCTCTCCCCGCGCTGCGGGCCTCCCTCCTCCCTGGAGGACGGGCGGGCAGCGCAGGCCCCGCGGCGGCGGCGGCGGCAGCGACGGCGGCGGCGGCGGCGACGCCAGAGCTACGGACGGCTTCTGTGGCGGGGACGAGCTGCACCAACCGACTCTCGGCCTTTCGGCTGAGCTCGTTAGCGCTCGGACGCGTTCGGCTCCGATCGGCCCTCCTCGATTCGGCTGGGGGCGTGGCTCGCCCCCTCCCCCGCCCAGGTCGCCTCAGGCGCTAGGGGGCGGGGCTTTGGGGATGGGCGCGAGCCCCCTGACGTCGCAGGAGCGCATGCGCCGGCCAGCTAGCCGTCGTCGTTTTCTACCGGGAGGACGAAGAGGGAAGAGGAGGCGGGCACTGGCGTGGATGCTAAGGCCTTGTGCGTTCCCGGCCTTTGTGCTCCATATCCTGGTCTTTCTGGAGAACAGTCTGGGCAAGGGTCCCAAAGTCGTGCATCCATCCTATCTCCTCAGTGCAGTGTTTACAAACTACCAACATTAGGTTTCACTGCAGGTTATAGTATCTTGTTTACTCAAATAGTAGCCGAAACGAATTTACGGCCACCGCTTCCCTAACACTATTTTAGGATACTGGAGCTGTCAAACACCTGCTCCCATCATGTACATTATTCGCAGCTGCTGTTGGCCTGGCGTAAAATCTTGTTTCATATTCCAGACATCTTTTTATAACGGAACCCACATCTGTGGGCAAATGTGTTCAGAACCTAACTTCGAACTCAGATTAACAAATAGAGCTCTGAAGACTGAGTGGGTCCCAATCCCAAATCTGCTTATGTCTAACGTCAGTTGGCCACATTCTCTTATCCACAAAAGACAACAAAATATTAGGGTATATAGGATAAGCGAGAGGATTAAATGACAGTCTATATAGAGCTTTCAGTACCGTGTCTTGGTCTTTAGTGTTTAAAACAAGGCTGAATTTATAGCTGTGTGTGATGGCCCACCCCTGTAATCTCACTCAAAGAGACTGAAGAAGGAGGATTGCAAGTTTGGGGTCAACCTGAACTATATAGCAAGTTTCAGACCCACCTGAACTACATAGTAAGACCCTGTCTCAAATAACAGCAGCAACAAAAAGGCTGAGTCTATTACAGTCAGTAAACATAGGTTTTAAGCGTGAGCAATGTGTCAAACTTAACGTGTCCAGAGTCAAACACTAAAACTTGCACCTGAACATATTGCCTATGGTCATCGCACAAGCTTCCTCATGTCAGGTGCAGTGTTTTTAGTCACCAGGCCAAACCATCACAGCCACCAGCCACCACTCTTCCTGTATCCATCATTAGCAAGCTTGCTGGCCCTACCTTTAGAAGTCTGTGCTCCAGGAAAACTGCAGGAGCTTCTTCCCTGCCTGCTCTCCTTCATTCCAGCCTGTGCTCAACACGGCAGCAACAGGGATCTTGTTAAATCCTATGTCTAAATATGTTCCTTTCCTCCATTAAAACATCTGGTGGCTCCTATCTTGTACACAGTAAAAATCAAAAGCTTTGTTCCAGGGGCTCAGAGATCCCGTGCAATCTGCTCTTTCTTCTAACAAGTGCATCGCCTGTGCAATCTGCTCTTTCTTCTAACAAGTGCATCGCCTGTGCAATCTGCTCTTTCTTCTAACAAGTACATCGCCTTTTTCTCCTCACTCCTCAGTCAGCCACACTCGCTTCCTTCCTGCTCCTGGGCATCAGGGAGGTGTGTCCTCACTTCAAATTCTACTCAAAAGATGTTTCCTTCGATGGATATCAAGCCCAAACCTCTATCACTCTGTCTCTCTTTGTTCTGTTTTATTTTTCTTCCTAGCCCTTATAACCTCAGGGTTTGTCTCTCATGTCCCTCGGGGAAGGAATGTTTGTTTTGCTTATTTTCAACATCTGGAACATGAGCAGACATGTTCAGGAACTCAGTAAGTATTTCTTGAATGAATGAGTATACAGAATATGTTGTGCTCCGATTTATTTTCATTTATTCAACCCACCTTTCCAAGCACCTTTTCTGACTCAGCCAATGCGGGGGTAAGAAAGACATTCTCCAAGACACCAAAGAACCCCATATTTCAGAAGAAACAGAAATGCAAAGATATGGTTCTGGGAGGAAATATGCAAATGCAGATTGCTTTGGAAAAACAAGGCATAAAGGGTATAATTACCAGTGTGTGGTAAGCATGGTAGTATTTACATGCAATCCCAGGTATTCAGGCTAAGGCAAAATGATCACAAGTTTGACCAACCCTGGCAACTTTAGCAAGACCTTGTCTCAACATAAAAACTAGAGAGAGAAGAGAGTTGCAGCTGTGATGTACAGTGCTTGCCTGGCATACTCAAGGCTTTGAGTGCAATCTGGTGCCAGAGTTAAAAAAAAAAAAAGCAAAAACTAACAACCAAAGGCCAAAGAAAAAGGTATAGGCAAATATGGAAAGGGCTCCCAATGACGCTGGAAGCTAGAAGCTGAGTCTGGAAGTGACTGCAGGCAAAGGCAGTAACCAGGATGCACATATTAGTGTAGGAAGATACGTCAGAGGAGGAGAAGGAAGACAAGGACAAGGAGAAGTTGTTGATGGTATTAATCAAAAAGGCAAATTAATTTTCTTCAAAAGAGAAAAAACCACTGAGAGGGCTCAGCAGGTTAGACACTTGCTGCCAAACCTGAAAATCTGAGTCTCCTCCCCAGAGCCCACACTGCAGAAAGCAAGAACTGACCCCTAGTTTTCTGCCCCATAAATAAATAAATAATGCAATTTAAGAGTTGTTTTAATTAAAATGTCCTAGGAAGAGATGGCTCAGTGAGTAAAGCACTAGCCATACAAGCATGAGGGTATCAGTTTGGATCCTCAAAACCCACTTAAAAGGCGAGCGTGTTTGAAAACAAAGTGGATTTGGGTCATAAGCCCAAAGGACTCCATATCCTACCATGAAGATGCTTGCACAGCCATGTTTTATTGCTCCCCTATTCACCACAGCAAGGAAAGGGAGCCAGATGAATGCATAGTGGAAATGTGGTTCATATACACAATGGAATTTTACCCCACTGAGGGAAAAATGAAATTATGGAATGTTCAGGAACTCCAGGGAGCACCACTCCCAGACCCCTGTCCCTGAAAAGTCTTCATTTCCTGTTCCAGACCTGAGTGTTCACTCACGTCCAGACATTAGGTGGGAAGTTAATGCCAGTTCCGGCTACAGTGGGAACTCCAGGCTTCTTGGGGTCTCACTGAGACATGGACAGTGTCATCTATGGTGTCTGCAGCATGAGCATGCAGAATCTAAATTTTGTGTGGGGATTGAGCCAAGGTCCTGTTGACTGAACCACCTCATCAACCCCCAGGGTTAACTTTATTGCTGTTTAAAGTCCTTTTTCCTAATGTCAGTTGGCAATAAAGTCTTGTTCTCTTGGGGGAAAAAAAAAACAAGAAATGTTCAGGAAAACAGGTGGATCTGGATAGTATATTAAGCAAAGTAATTCAAACTCAGAAAGAAAAAAAACCCTCATGTTCTCTCTCAGATGTGGATCCTAGCTTGTAAAGTATACATGTATGTATATGAGAGTAAGGGGTCTGGAGAGAAGGCTCAGCAGTTAAGAAATAGTACTGCCCTTGCAGAGGACCCAAGTTCAGTTCCCAGAACTCATGTCAGGCAGATCACAACTGCCTATAATTCCAGCTCCAGGGAATCTAGCAACCATGGAAACAAACCATCACATAGCCATGCACATATATACATAATTTAAAATAAAAATAAGGGCTGGAGAGATGGCTTAATGGTTAAGAGCAACTGGTTTAGATTCTCAGAACCCACATGGCAGCTTACAACCACCTGTAACTCCAGTTCCAGAGGATGCTACACTCTCTTCTGACTCCTGAGGGTACTCCATACATATGCTACACATACATACACACAGGCAGTCATACACAAAATTAAATTTTTTAAAAATATTTTTAAACACATCAAGGTCTGGAGGATCTAGAATCTGTAAGAGTAGACTGTGGGGGTCCCAGGGTAGCCATGTTCCTCTACAAACCTTCTCAATGATCAGTTCTGCCTCATGAGAAGAGAGGTGGTCCCAAAATGGCTGATGGGCCCAAGAATATTTTGCAAGTCCTAAAAAGAACATGTATGGGACAAGACAGTAAGTAGGCTGTAGAAAGTGTCACATGCCTTTGCTTTTGGCAACAAGGTAACTGAAGCTGAGCTTTCTGCCCAGAAAGAACTTGGTCTTGAAAGAACTATAGGTAACATAACATGAGAGAATATCATAAAGAGGGATTGGGGAAACAGCTCAGTATCTAAGGTGCTTGCTGTATAACCATGATCTTAAATGCAATCCATTGAAGCCAGGTTAAAAAACCAAGCCTGGGTGCTCATACTTGTAATCCCCACAGGGGAGAGGCAGAGACTGGTACATCTCTAGAACTCACTTGCCAACCACCCTAGCTTACTCTGTGGGCTCCAGGTCAATGAGAAACCCTATTTCAGGAAAACATTGTAGACAGCTCTTAAGCTTGACCTCTGACCACCATACACACACACACACACACACACACACACACACACACACACACACACACACACACTTACACAGACTCTCAAAGAAGGTTGAGCCAAACAAGCTAGCCACAAAAGATCGCCTGTGAAAAGTTCATAAAACTCATAGTCTGATAAAACCAAACATGCCTTTGTTGCAGAACAAGCTTTTTGAACACTCTAAATATATATTACTCTCATTGGTTAATAAAGGGCTGACTGGCCAGGCATTG